GTTTCTCTGATTTCTTTCTCAGTCACTTCATTGTCTGTATATACTAGGGCCACTGATTTTTTTGAGTTTACCTTGTATCCTGCCATTTTGCTGAAGGTGTTTATCAGTTCTAGGAGTTCCCTTATGGAGTTTTTCGGGTCACTAATGTAAACTATCATATCATCTGCAAATAGTGAGAAGTTTGACTTCTTTTCCAATTTGTATCCCCCTTATCTCCTTTTGTTGTCTTATTGCTGTAGCTAGAACTTCAAGTACAATATTGAAGAGATATGGAGAGAGTGGACAGCCTTGTCTTGTTCCTGATTTTAGAGGAATTGCTTTGAGTTTCTCTCCATTTAGTTTGATGTTAGCTATTGGTTTACTGTATATTGCTTTTATTACATTCAGGTATGTTCCTGTTATCCCTGATCTCTCTAGGACCTTTATTCCTATAATAGTATATATGGCATTTTTCTGGGCTGTTATCTACATTCTTCATGTTGGTGATGGAACAGTTATCTAACCGGCTGGGCTAAGTATCACATAATATTTACTCATGAATAATAATAGTCACTGATAATTAATCCTGTAACATGTCAGTCCTATGTAATCTGTGTTTATAACCTTATTTAATCCCCCTATTATCCCTGGGTGGGTGATATTGCTTACTTCATTGAAGGTGAAAATTTGCGAATCTTGGAGACTCAAATGAGTGGCCCATGCCTGTTAATTCCAGCACTCAGGAGGCTGAGGCAGAAGGATTGCTATGAATTTGAGGTCATCCTGGGCTACACTGAGACCCTTTTTTTGAAAAAATATCCGGGAAAGAAAGGGGTCTTACAAAAAGTACACACCAGGTAAAAGACCACAACTGCAAATTTATTTCATCCAACCTTTTTTTTTTAAAGAATTTTATGTTTGTTTGTTAGTGCAGACATGAAATTGCAGAGGTCAGACAACTCTTTTTTCTCAACAAAACCATGAACCCAGATCCTCAGACTTGTACGGCACATGTCTGTTGAGTGAAGCCTTTTCCTTGCCAGCCGCTTTGGTTTTTCCCCACCAGTCCCCAATAACACACAAGACGTTGTATTAATTACGAAGCTGTTGGCCTTGCTTGTTTCTTACTATTTCTGACTTAAGTATTTACTCCATAATTGTTAATCTATTTCTCTTACCAGAGAAAAGGGTCCAGACTTCTTACCCCTATGGCAGCTACATGACTCCCTGTGTTTCTCCTTCCCAGAGTCCTCCTGGACTCCTAGTCCCACCTATCTTGCTTCCCTATTGGCCAACAGTGCTTTATTGACACATACACAGGACTTCCCCATCACATTGTCATGTATCCTCACACACAGAAATACACACATGCTGGGCCACCTTCACCAGCCTGTCTACTCTTTCTTACCATATAGCCACAGCGTTTGTGTCTCTTATCCATTCAGACACCTCTGAGGTGATCCGGTGCTCCTTAATTTTAGTCTGCTGGATGCCTCATCCCTCTCCATGATGATCCTTTCTCTGGTCTCACTACTGTTGTGCGCTCCTCCCATGGAGGAAGCAATAGCCGGTTTATTTCTAGCCCACTTTAAGCCCTGCTGTGTCACCCTCAGTGTTGTAGGGTCTCTGAAACCAAAATCTATTCATTTATCATCCCAAATACAAAAGAGGGAAAATTGTTTTTCTGACAGGTTGGGGAGAGTAATCTTTTTTAACCCCATATAAACCTCAGGCTAGATTTCAGTGATTTCTTCTTATGTGTTGGTATCGGAACAGTTATGGTGCCGATATTTTTAGCGTGGGTTGTTTATTATAAGGAAAACTAGGTTGATCTGACGTCTTCTATAGTTGACCTTCCTGCACCTGACTTCATCTAACATAGGCTGTTCCCTCATGATTCCCCAGTTAGAGCACTCAAAGATGGACCTCCTCAATATACTCCTTTCTTCAGAGGTTTGGATTCCAGTCTTTAACCAAATTATGTTCATAGGAATGACTGTGTAGCTCATCAGAAGAGTGTGTGCCTAGCATTCCCAAGGCCCTGGCTCCAATCCCTAAACACAGGAGAGACAGTGGGGGGGGGGGCTTCAATCCCAAATCACAGAAGAGAGAGAGAATGAATATGCTCATGGTAACTTAGAAACATCTGTCAGAGGAGCATTGTGGAGCGTGGAAATGAAGTTCAATGGCAGGATTTTGCTTAACACGCTTAAGACTCTGAATTGGATTTCCAAAACCAAGCCCCACTCTATTTTAAAGATGTAATTACCTCTACTAAACCAAAACAAAAAAACAAAAGCTTAGACTGGCCAATCTTAAACATTATCCTGTTGCTTGACAGAATCACCTAGCACAAAGCCTACATTTTTTAAGTATAGAATATCTCATATAATTTATTGAAAAGCTCAAAATTCTATAAATGGTTTTTAGTACCTGTGAATTCCTTCCATACCAATATATAGAGCCCAGGACACCAGTGAATTCACAGGCTATTCTCACAGGCCATGTGTATTCTGTAATGCTTGCTGCGAAGTACACTGCCCAGATAGTTTGTACCTGGTCTTTCCTGGTTAGGCTCCTCATGCTGGATGTACACCAGCCAGAGCTGTGTGCTTCCAGAAAGTAAATGTTTATATCAATTCCCTCAAGGCTATTTTATACCTCCAGAGACCTCACTGTTGGTTTTTGTTGGGAAAGTCAACATGTACAGAATCAAGGGAAAAATAGAGAGAGCTGGAGTGATGGGCCAGTGGTTAAGAGTACTTTTTATTCTTGTAGAAGACCTGGGTTTGGTTTGCAGAACCCACGTGGTCGCTCACAACCACCCATAACTCCAGTTCCAGGAGGTCTGGTGCCATCTTGTGAACTCTTAGGGCACCGGGCATGCATGTGATGTACATACACGTACAATGAAATAAACCTAAAAAAAAGAGACTACAAGTCAAAAAAATGTGAAAATCCATTAGATGGGAAATGAGAACCCAACATTTGTCGTATAGACGTGGTAGCTTTTTGATCAAGAGTACCATCCTGGACTGGATGTTTAACTCAGTGGTAGAACATTGCCTTGGATGCAGGAAGCCCTGGCTTTGGTCCCTGGCACTACCAAAAAAAAAAAAATTAAGGGAAGAAGACAAAGAAAGAGCAAAACTGTCACAACTAAAGCTTAAGTCATCATCAATCATTCCTGATAGGTAGCAACTGCCCCCAGCCAATGTGCATACAGGGGCATCACACACATCTGTTTAGCCTGTGAATGTCCTATTACTGTAAAGTAACTGACCCGGGTTCAATTCCTAGCACCTACCTGGCATCTTACAGTTCCAGTGCCAAGAGATCTTCTGACCTTGATAGGCACCAAGCACCCACGTGGTACACAGATATACATATGCCAGCAAAACACCCACACACCTAAAATAAAATGCTGTCCTGAAACACTCTCTGTAAACCAGGCTAGTCTCAAACTCAGATCTGCCCGCCTCCTGAGTGCTGAGATTAAAGGTGTGTGCCACCACCACCTGGCCAATAAATCTTTATTATTATTATTTAAAGTTTTTCAGAAAAAGCCAGAGTCTTCAGAACCTATCTTTGACTCTTTTAAAACAGTTATTCCCTTCATGTGCCTTTATTGCTACTCTAACATGGGGTGGTGGTGGGGAAGATCTGTCTACTACAGTAAGTAAAATAGGAGTCACTTCTTGATTTCAACAAAGAAGCTACATGATCCCAGATTTTAGAGAATTACTCTTGTTGCTCCATTGGGAAATGACTAGCTGAGCATGAAGAAAGGAGCATCGTAAAATAGGTCCTAAAGGGGAAATGACTTCATTAATACTATATTTGCTTCAGCTCCCTTACGTCATGCTACCTTCCATCTGGCATGAGTGTGGGAGACAGAAAAATCTGTTGAGCAAGCAAGTTCCAGTCAGGCATGGTGGTGCACGCCTTTAATCCCAGCACTCAGGAGGCAGAGGTGGGGGGGAGTCTCTGTGCGTTTGAGCCAGCCTAATCTACAGATCGAGTTGCAGGTCAGTCAGAGCTAGTGTCTTAGTTAGGGTTTCTGAAGAGACACCATGACCACAGCAAGTCTTATAAAGGAAACATTTAATTGGGGTGCTCATTCAGTTTCAGAGGTCCAGTCCATTATCATGGCGGGGAGGATGGTGGCTGGCAGGCAGACCTGGGGCTGTAGCAGTAGTGGATCCTACATCTTGCAGGCAACAGGAAGTGGTCTGAAGCACTGGGCGTGGCTTGGGCATATGTGAGACCTCAAAGCTCACCCCCACAGTGATATGCGTCCTCCAACAAAGCTATACTCCTAATAGTGCCACTCCCTAAGACCTTACCACAGCTACACAGTGAGACCCTGTCTCAAAAGACAGTAAGTAAATAAAATAGAAAGTTTGAAAACCTGTTTTCTCAGGCTACAGATGTGGTTTATGGGGGGAAAAATTCTTGCCAGGAAAAAAAAAATCTGTTTTCTACCTTTATGAAAATAATTGGTTGTCTCTCCAACTGAAATAATCAGTTCCTGTGCTATGACCTTTTCACTAGACACAGCCAAGCAAAGGGAGACCATGACCTGTCAATTTATGAATCCCTTCCTTTAGCAAGCATTTTTTTCCTTTGGTACTGAGTTAGCTTTCTGTTACTGTAGCAAGTACCTGAGATGAGTCATATTAAAAGGAATAAAGGTTAAAAAAGAAAAGGTTGATTTTGGCTCCCAGCTTTAAAGGTCTTTTAGGCCTATGGTGGGATGAGAGAGAGAGAGAGAGAGACAGAGATCCCCATATCACCTTTGAGGGCACGCGTGCTGTCTTAGTTAGGGTTAGTGCTGCTGTGACAAAACACCATGAGCAAAAGCATCTTGGGGGAGGGAAAGGTTTATTTCACTCACAGTTCCATGTAACAGCTCATCATCAAAAGCAGTAAGGGCTGGCCAGGCAGTGGTGGCCCATACCTTTAATCCCAGCACTTGGGAGGCAGAGACAAGAGGATCTCTGTGAGATGGAAGCCAGCCTGGTCTACAGAGTTAATTCCAGGACAGCAGGGGCTACTCAGAGAAACCCTGTCTTTAAAGGGGGGGGGCAGTGAGGACCAGGACCTGGAGGTGGGATCTGATGCCTAGAGCGTGGATGGAAGCTGCTTACTGACTAGCTGCTTTTCTATAGAACGCAGGAGCACCAGCTCAAGGATGATACAACCCACAATGGGCTGGGCCTCATGGAGGCATTTACTCAATTGAGACTCCTTTCAGATAACTCTAGCTTGTGGCAAGTTGACATAAAACTAGCCTGCACACACCCTTCCCCAAAGACCTAAACCCTCCCGCTGGGTCCTATTTCTTAAAGATTTTTTACTACATCCCAACAGTGCTCCGGGCTAGGACAAAGCCGCAGGCCTTCCAGGGGGGTATTTATGCCAACCTAGCAGGCAGCCACAAAGAGTCAGTGGCCAGGATGCGCCCTAAGGACACTTCACCATCAGGGAGGCTCCCAGGTACTGTGGAGGCACAAGGCGTTCACTCTGTGACTGGTTCTGAAGATTGGAGCTAAGGAACACTGTGGTCCCCCTGTAACTGGGCTGTGTGGGTAGAGAAAGTAATTTGCCTCTTCCTCCAGTGAGTTCCAGGGGCAGGAAGGAGGACAGAAAGTTGAAAAGACTGTAAGTGCTTCGAGTAAGGGGGTGAATGGGAGCCTGAAGGGTTGAAAAACACCCAAGACAGAACTAGACACAGTCCCAGCTCAGGAAAGCCAGCGATTGGTCAGCTGCTTCACGGATCCAGAAATAAGAATAGGGGTGTTAAACAATGTCTACCAGGTCACACGGGTGCTCTTATTAAACCTGCCTGGCTGCCCTTAGTTACGGGAAAGCTGATATTCATTGGTTGACGGATAAAAAAGCAAGTACATTCTGCTTACCCGGCAGCTGTCAAACATCCGTTCCGAGACATAGTTCACCTAAGCATGTATAATCAGAATCATGACTTAAGTTTGTAGATGCTGAGATTTAAACTACTCCGAGGGGCTGGAGAGATGGGCTCAGCCTTTAGAGCAGTTGTTACTTTCCCGAGGACCTATGTTCTTGCTCGAACCGCAGCTCACAATCTGCAGCTCCATTTCCAAGGGACCCTCTTCTGGCCTCCTTGGGCACCAAGCACACATGTGGTATACAGACACACCTGCAGACCAAACACCCATACACATAAATAACCTTTAAAATAAATGCTTAGCAGTTTCTCACAAAGATCTTACAACCGTGTGCTAGATTGTAAAAAATAAAAATAAAAAAATATAGCCTCCCCATCCTCATCATTCCTGCAAATCCTCTGCCATATGTAAAAGAAAACCTCCAAGAAGGGTAGTAGATGTTGCACTCACCTGAAGTCCAGGCTGACAGTTCTCAGTGTTCAGTCTTGCACTGGAATTCTAAGGAAGCCACGGTATGATGTGGGAGCTGTGCAGAACTCATGATCCATGTACATTACTGGATGTTCCATTAGAAGGCCCGATCCTCCTGTTGAAAAAGAATATATGTTTCTAGGCTCCCACAAATATATACATTTGTATCCTTCTAAATCATCAACCCGGTCCATCTTTAAGTCTGGGATCGCCCTGTGCATGTCACAAATACACAGCGACCCTGCAGGAGATGCTTGGATGGCCTCACTTTGACCATCTTAGTCTAGCAATAAGAATTTAGCTTTTTATTTTTAGTGGTACATATGTTCCCATCAGCACAGAGGTGATGGGGGAAGTCCTGTACATTTGTTAATAAAGCACTGTTGGCCAATAGGAATCTAGATAGGTGGGACTAGGAGTCCAGGAGGATTCTGGGAAGGAGAAACACAGGAGAGTTCAACATGTAACGCCATGGGGTAGGAAGCCTGGAACTATTCTCCGGTAAGAGAAATACTTGGATTAACAATTATGGGGTAATTACTTAAGTCAGAGCAAGCCAGTAAGAAACACGCAAAGGCCAACAGCTTCATAATTAATATAGCCTCCTGTATGTTTATTTGGGACTGATGCGGCTCTGGAACCAAGCTGGCGGGAAGGCTTCTCTCAAAGAAAAAGCTTCTCTTAACACAGAGGTTAAGATTTCAAAGCTGCAACACAAAGTTATGAATAAGGAAAGGTTCAGGGATCACTCCTCCTTGAGATCCTCCCAGCAGCTGATGGTCGGTAGGGGAGGGAAAGACACCCGTTTTTCTTTTCTAAGTTTCATTTATGGTGTGGATGAGTGTTAACCACAGGCATGCCTTGTGCCCACAGAGGCTGGAGAGATGGCTCGGAGAGTAGGAGCACTGGCTGCCCTTCCAGAGGTCCTGAGTTCAATTCCCAGCAACCACATGGTGGCTCACAGCCATCTGTAATGAGATCTGGTGCCCTGTATACACAACAAATAAGTCTTAAAATAGAAGACGACATCGGATCCCCTGGAACTGGAGTCCAGGTGTTGTGAGCTGCCATGCCGGTGCTGGGAACCAAACCTGGGGTCCACTGCAAGTGCTCTTAACCACTGAGCCATCTCTCCAGACCCCCAAGAGACAAATCGTCTTCAGTGCAGTCACTGGTGACTATTGCCTATATGCTCCTATAGGCAACCCTAATGGAAAAGAATTATTAATTGAGAAAGGAGACTAGATGATGGTAAGAGAAGGGGGTATAAAAAAATGAACAAAATATTTCTATACAAGAACGAAACTACCATAACGAAATAGATGGTGGTTTGAATAAGAATAGGCACAGGCTCACACATTTGAATACTAAGTCACCATGGAGTGACACTATTTGAAAGGATTAGGAGGTACAGCCTTGTTGGAAGACGTGTGTTGCTGCAAATGGGCTTTGAGGTTTCAAAAGCTCATCCCAATCCCAATCTCTCTCTCCTGATCAGTATGTAGAGCTCTCAGCTGCAGCCATGCTCCCAGATATAATAAACTCAACCTCTAAAACTGTAAGCAAGCCCCCAAATAAATACTTTCTCTTATAACAGTTGCCTTAATTGTGGTGTCTCTTCTCAGAACTAGAACAGTGACTAGGACAGAATTCATTATTGTATATAATTAGTATATATTTTCAATAGGAAAATGAAAACATTCAGAAAGTTTAGACCCCTGAACCTATGTTGCCTTAAAACTGGGATTATACAACACAGTGGGTATTTATCTTTTAACAAGTTAGTCAGCCTTTGTTTAAGAGATGCTACCCAATAGCCGAAGTGCGGTCTAGTAGTAGCACATTTGCCCCTATCAACGGTGAATCATGCCTATGCTATGTTAGCCTTCCGCAAACTTTGAAACTGCTCAATTAAATAAACAATGTAACAAATGAGCGGGGAAGGCATGGTGACCAATGCCTGTGATCCCAGCATTAGAGGCAAGAGGATCGGGAGTTCAAAGTCATCCTTGGGCAGACCTGGAGGATAGGTTAGGTTACCTAAGAGCCTATGGGGGAGGGGAGGGGGCGGGCTAAAAAGCAAGCATGATTTTACTGAGAAGTATAAGAACAGGTCCCTGCATCAGGGAGGATGAGGTTCCAAAAGTGGGACTGCCCACACAGTTTTTAGAAGTAGTATTAATTCAGACCAGCAGTACACCTCCGTAGCAGAGTGTGCCCAGGGCTCCACTCAGGGTGCCACAGAACATTCAATAACATCATCTAAGAAACACAACACTGACTCCTAAAAACACCTACCCAAACGACATCTGTGGTCTCACTAGTGAGGGGACCACCCTCCACAAGATGCTGCAAGCCAAAGTCTAAATAGCTTCGTGGATTCCCAACGACTGCAACTAGATGTTTCCTAGTTTTACGTTATTCTAAACTGGCTGGCGAGGTGGCTGTATCAGTAAGATGCTTGCCTCAAGTTCGATCCCCAGAACTCGCGTAAATATCTGGGAACTTATCATCTCCTCATACCAAGATGGGCCACCGGTTCCCTGGAGCTTTGCTGGGCAGCTAGCCTACTTGTGGAAGCTCCCAGTCAATCAAAGACTCTGTCTCCGGGTAAAAAGGGAGGTGCAGGAGAACTAAGCCCGAGGTTGCCCTCCGACCTTCACACACCTGTACACACCCCTCTGCCTCAGCCCACAACCTGCCTTCTTGCCTTGGGGTCAGGTTGCTGTATTGTGGTTGAGCGTCTGATGCTTTGTGAATAGGGTTGCTGTGTGTGGACAATACACAGCCGTTTTTTTGTTTGTTTTTTACTGGACGTTTTCCTGAAGGTTGGCCCCACTGGCTGTAAATTGCAGATCAGGGATATCCCTCGCCCTTTGCTTTCCACGCTGATGGGGAAGCTTGACAGCAAGGGGGGCACATCCATCACCTATCACGTGCCAATTGCTGAAGCGATGTCAGGAAAAAGATTTTCCAGCCCAGGCCTCGTTTGGGTTGACTCTGAAAAGACCCCGAGTGCAGTAACCACCTGCAGTAACCCCATTAATAACTGACAGATTCAAAGCTTATGGAACATCTCAGAAGACCCAGGTCAGCGTGGGGAAGGAAGGACTTTAAGTCTGAAGTTCCGTCCCAGGTCTGACTTAGGATTTAAAACTGGGTTTCCAATCCTACTAGACCCCTGCTCCCACGGTGTGAGGGGAAACCAGAAAACGCGCCATTGATGGATGTGATTGACGGCCCTGGCTGCCCGGGGAATGGCGTAGTTACAGAACATAAACGGCAGGGGGCAGTACAATCCCGCCGAAGACACGGAAACTTGAAGCGCGCATTCGTGGCATCTTGGGGCCAGGATGGAATCCTTAATTGTTCCGCGAAGGAAAGAGAGCGCTCTAGATACCCTTTCTAGAAGCCTAGAAGCTCCCTGCATCGTCACCAAAATAGTCCCTTGGCATCGGTACGCAGCTGCAGTCTCTGCAGCCTTGTTGGCTTTGCTGTCGGATCTTTCCTGGCCTCCTGCCTAGGAAGTGTCTGCCCTTGGCGCTCCAGCCCTGTCGTTCGTGGCGCTGCCCGGGACCAGGCCCTCTGCCTGCACACACAACCAGCCCATGCAACCGTTTCTGGTCATTCCGGTCCCCGCCAGCGTTGTTTCCAGCTCCTCACCGCAGCCGCCAGGTGTCTGCCCTCCCTCAACCCGCAAGGGTGGGAGATCAAAGGTGTGCCTGCATCTGCCTCCTGCCCCTGTGCTTTCAAATGTTACACAAAGGGGACAAACACGGTATTGTGCACCCCGGGGGAGTGGTGGCCCACGGATCAGAGGTGGCAGTGGGCACCGTCTGGAGCAGGTGACTGAGGCGCGCGTGGTGTGTGTGCACGCGCTTGGCAGCCCTGACACCGCAAGGTTTGTTCTTGGTAAAGGATCAAATTTTACATGGTGGATGGTAACCTTCCCGTCTCCAACTATAGAGCCATGCTTAAACACCCCTCCGTGAAATCAGGTCCACAGAACCAGTCGGCGAGTATGACTCAGTGGTAGAGTGCCCAGGAAATATAAAACCTCGCTGCGTTAAAGCATGCAAAAAGCTAGCCTGGTGTGCCAGCGCCGGCAGGAAGATCTCTTTGAATCTGGAGTTCTGAACCAGTCAGGACTATGCAGTGAAACCCTTCCCTTAAAAACCCTGACAGAGAGCTAATCTCCAAAATTTACAAAGAACTCAAGAAGCAAGTCTCCAAAACACCAAAGGATCCAATCAAAAGGTGGGGTACAGAACTAAACAGAATTCTCAATAGAGGAGGCTAAAATGGCCAAGAGACACTTAAGAAAGTGCTCAACATCCTTAGCCATCAGGGAAATGCAAATCAAAACAACTCTGAGATACCATCTTACTCCTGTCAGAATGGCTAAAATCAAAAACACCGAAGACAATTTATGCTGGAGAGGATGTGGAGAGAGGGGAACACTCCTCCACTGCTGGTGGGAGTGCCAACTCGTACAGCCTCTTTGGAAATCAGTATGGAGATTCCTCAGGAAAATGGGAATTAATCTACCACTAGACCCAGCAATTCCACTCTTAGACATATATCCAAAGGAGGCAAATTCATACAACAAGGGCATCTGCTCCACTATGTTCATAGCAGCATTATTTGTAATAGCCAGAACCTGGAAGCAACCTAGATGCCCCTCAACTGAAAAGTCGATAGAGAAAATGTGGTACATTTACACAATGGAGTATTACTCAGCAGAAAAAAACAATGGAATCTTGAAATTTGCAGGTAAATTGATAGCACTGCAAGAAACCATCCTGAGTGAGGTAACCCAGTCACAAAAAGACAAACATGGTACATACTCACTCATATATGGATTTTAGACATGGATCAGAAGAGTGCCAGTCTGCACTTTCACTGACAGAGAGTCTGGGAAACAGGAAAGAACCTAAAAGACATACATGGTACCCAAGAGAAGAGAAATGAGGCAAGATCCTCTGAACAGATGGGGAACACAGCGAGGGGTGGGGGGAGGGGGACCTGGGAAATAGAGAGGGGGAGAAGTGGAAGAGAGAGTAGGTTGTGGAGGAACAGGAAGGTCAACTGGAGGGGGTAGGATAGGGGGAAGAG